CCGCTCCCCGGTTCGTCCTACGGAGCTGCTCCTCCTCGGGTTTTGTTGGGGTTTTTTTTTTGTTGGTTTTTTTTTTATCCACCTGCTTAATCACATTTAAATATATTAAATACTTTCCTATTGTTGTTCTGGCGTAGAGGTGATGGCTGCAGTTGCCATGGGGATGTTAAAAAAAAAAAAAAAAGAGAGAAAGAAAAATAAAGGGGAAAGCGGAAAGGAAGAGTAACAGGGGAAAATAAAATAATTTTTGCAACACTTTAAGCGTTTCTGTTGAAACCCGCGGGATGGAAATGGCAATGGATTTTCCCGCGCCTTAATGGATGCTCACAGCGGCGAGAGAGAGCGAGGCGGCCCGTTCCGCTCCCCGCGTAACTATTTATCCCCCGCCCGGTTCCCTCTGTCGAGCTCCAAACGTGCCCTCGTTCCCCCGGTGCGGGTGGAAATCCCCGGGGGCGGCGGGAGCTACGGCCGCCGGGCTCGGTACCGGCCCCGCCGGGGCTCCCGGGCGGCGGCAGCGGCGCGTCCCCGGCTCGTCCTACGGAGCTGCTCCTCCTCGGGTTTTGTTGGGGGTTTTTTTTTGTTGGTTTTTTTTTTATCCACCTGCTTAATCACATTTAAATATATTAAATACTTTCCTATTGTTGTTCTGGCGTAGAGGTGATGGGGGGGGGGGGGGGGGGATGCCCCGCACCATCAGGGGTGGCAGAGGGGTGTCCCCTCGCCCGGGGGACGTGGGAAGTTGGGGTGACAACTGAGACAAGCGCCCTGGGAACGCCTGGGCACCCACCGGTGGAATCATCCCGGGGGAAAGGGGATACCCGGGCGCCCATCCGCCGCTGGGGGGACAGCCGAGAAGCGACGTCAGGGAGCGGGGGCGAGGGGAGGGCGGTGGGACGGGTGACAGCCGCTCGTCACCCCCAGCCATGCCACCGCCGGGCCCGGCTGCACCGGCAGCAGCTGTGTTTGCTCAGCGCCGGGACGGCGGCACCAGCACAAAGGCCGGACGCCACGGTGAAGGGCGCCCGGGGCCGCGCTCCGGCCCGTCCCTTCCCTCCTCGCCGGGCTACGGGGGCGGTTTGCAGACCGGGAAAAGGGGCATCAAACCGGTGGCGTGAACCGGAGCCCTGCCCGGGTGTGCGGGAGGGCCGGGGCGGGGGTCGGGTCTCCGACGGGTCGCACCCCGGGGGCTGCCGCGGAGCAAAAGGCAGGGCCGGAGCCGGGGGGTGTGGGGTGGGGGAAACGACCTCGCTCCGAACCGCTTTTATCCCCAGGGCCCCGGCAGCAAATCGGGTGCAGCCAGAGGGGGGACGGGGGAGAGGCGGCTCTGGAAAAGAGTGGGAGGGGAGCGGAGCCGCCCCCGACGGGTTTCAAAATAAAACAACCAGCTTGTAAAAGGGACACCCCCCCTCCCCTTCCCGGCCTCGCTCAGCCCGGTGGGCTGCGACCGGCCCCGGGCCCTGGAAGGCGGCCCAAAGCCGCTGCCCCCAGCGCCGACACGCCTTGGCAGCGGAGCGGGGGCGCGGAGAGGTTCATTTTAGGTGAAGGAATGTCATTTCGCTACTAAATGGTTAGTCTAATTTGATCTTTATTATGCTGTGGATTAGGGCTGATTCATATTAAACACTAGTGCGGCTAATATCGGTGCGGAACGTGTCCCGCTGTATGTACAGCAGCCGCCGCCGCAGCCCCGCCGCTTCCCGCGACCCGTGGATTAAGATTTAATTAAGAGGGAAGTTTGCTAGCGCTCGCCCGCAGCCTCTCTGCTTTACAAATAATTTATACTCCGTTCCGCGGATTTTTATTCAAGTGACAGCATTTTATTTTACTCTAAAAGGGACCTGAATATTTTATGTTCTGCCAGAGGCTTCTGTATACGAACCTCTCGGAGGCAGCTCGGATTTTATTTATTTATCTATTTTAATCTACGGGAATTACCACTATAGCGGCAATGTATCAGATTTTCTTACCCCCTCCTCCTACTCCCCCCAATTTAACCGCCTATCCGTATGAAAGTTAATCGTCATGATCCCCATTGTCGGTTGTATAAATCCAAGCTCAAGCCAACCTCCAAGACACGGCAACAATTCTGATAAATTGTCCTGCTCGGCTAACTACACAAGAATGGCTTTTATAATTAAAAGGGGAGCTGAGTTAAATCAACAGCTCTTAAGCCCTTCTCAACAGGGCTAGAATGGGAGAAATGTGGCGACCTGATTTCTTTAAGTAGCAGCTCTTTGTAGCCCATTCATAATCCTAGATATGGAAACCCATCCTGCACAAAGTCAGCTGCCAAGCCCCCCCAAAAAAGAAGAAAAAAAAAAAAAGAGGAAAAAAGTTTATACAGATGCTCAAAGTCCATCTTTTTTTCCAGACTAACATAACCCTGGCACTTTATAACCAAACAGACAACTCCTTTTCCAATTAAAGTGGAATTAGGAAACTCAATCAAATTAGCTCACTATTAAAGCCCTTCTTTATTAAACCGTTTTATTGTAGTAATATTAAGTTTCACCCGCTCTTGGAACACGAGACTTTAAAAAGTTTCCCTTGTGATATTGATTTGGCTGCTCCCAGGATGGATCAGGGTCAAAAGTATTTACCTAGGTGTAATCTGTAATATTTATTTACTTACTTTAAAAAAAAAAAAAAAAAAGAAAGGAAAAAGAAAAATCTTTAAATTGTATCCAGCTTGATCAATTGCACCGAGGGAAGGAATAATTGCATTTTACTTGCTACCGTCCCTTGATTTTACTCCGGGCCTTCCTTCCATAGGTACGGCGGGACGCCTCTCCTCCCAGACCCACCAGTATATTAACTGGTTGGTAGGAGCCGCGCTGTCAGCTCCGAGCCAATGTTTACTCAGTTATATTTGAAGTGAGAAAGTAAACAGTCCAGCTGTGCCACGGAGCGGTTCGGTGGGATTAGGTTTCCATACCAACCAACTTTAGGAGCTTTTACAGTCTTAATTCAACCATAGACTGAACTTGTTCTTTGTGAGTAATAGTTTTCCTGGGCCAAGCGCTCCCAGGACTGATAAGAAAGTCGCGCTCCGGCCTTGGGGAGGATCTCCTCCTCTCTGGATGCACGGGGAGCACCCCCGCTTCCCCGCCGACTCAGGGCAATAAATCAATAAATGGAGGGAGGAACGCCTTTCTTACTTTTTGGTCTCGAAGAATAGTCGGGCACTAAAGCGAAAAAAAAAGAGAAAAAAAAAAAAAACAACCCAAACGACAACAACAAAACTAACAGTAAAAAACAAACCCCAACCCACGCGTGTAGCCTTTACTCTTGCAATGAGATGGAAGATGTGGAAGGACACACAGCTCCAAGAGCAGCCTTTCCTGCGCGTAACCCCCGCGCTGGGCTCGCCGTGGCTTAACGCCTTCACGCCGGCCCCAAACGCGGTCTTGCCTTCTGAAAAAGCGTCATTATGATATATCCTTTTGCTTATCTTGATAGAAAAACAATAAAAACGCACATTCAGATTTCAGACACGAGCGAAAAGTGTCTCTCCGTTACTACACAACCCGCGAACAGCAAGGCGGGCGTTTGCTTTAACCGGGCTTTTCTTCTCTGCCATAACGCCCGATTTCCTAAATATGACCGAAATCAGCGACATAGCGACGGGAAAAGTCCTGCTTAAATTTACACCCCTGTTTTGTTTGTTGTTGGGGTTTTTTTGTTTGTTTGTTTTGGTTTTTTCCCCTGGCGTAAATAATAAAAAGACCAGAAGCAGAAATAAACATATTTGACAATTTCGGTTGATAAGGAGATCGCTCTGGTTTGTACTCTTCGTTTTTATTTATAAATTTTCCGAAGAATATCTGTTTTGACCATGATAAAAATGTAGTAAACATGTTTGTACTAATTGCATAAACTCCTTTAAATATTGACTGTACTTGTCAAATGAATTTCCCAAAACACACTCCCACCGTCTCGTAAAATACCACTTGCCATTTATAAGACCGATTTTTTTTTTTTAATAGAAAATAACATTTATTTCTATGAAATGGAAACACAGAATTACCTGTTAGAAACAGCAAGAAGTTTGCTACATCGGAACAAGAAAGCAATTTTTCTTGCGGATCACAAATGAAGGAGGCTCATTAAACCGTCATACACCGTTGGCGCCGGGGTCCTACGGACAGTTACAAATATATCTACTTTCCAAATGTTATTATATACAGCTCGGA